CAGGCAGCCTGCGGGGCCACCTCGGGGAAACTTGATGGCTGGTTTTACTCATAGCTTATCCCATCTGGTGTGCCCTGAGAACGAGATACGTGCGACTCCTATCGGGATTTGTCAGCACATCGGGCGGTCTTGCTAGTCTTGTCTTACCATTGTCGAAATGTCTTGTAACCGGGATTCCGAGGCTGATCGGGTCTTTCGGGGAGAAGGAATATCCTTCGTTGATCGTGAGAGCTTGTGATGGGCTAACTTGGGACACCCCTGCAGGGTATAAAATTTCGAGAGCCATGCCCGCGGTTATGTAGCAGATGGGAATTTGTTAATATCCAGTTGTAGAGAACTTGACACTTGACTTAATTAAAATGAATCAACCGCGTGTGTAGCCGTGATGGTCTCTTTTCGGCGGAGTCCGGGAAGTGAACACGGCCTTGGGTTATGTTTGAACGTAAGTAGTTTCAGGATCACTTCTTGATCACTTCTAGCTTCACGTCCGTTGCGTAGCTTCTCATCTTACTCTTATTTGCGCATGTTAGCCACCATATTTGCTTAGCGCGTGCTGCAACTCCACCTCATGGCCTTATCCTACCCATAAGCTTAAATAGTCTTGATCTCGCGGGTGTGAGATTGCTGAGTCCTCGTGACTTACGGATACTTCCAAAACAGTTGCAGGTGTCGATGATACCAGTGCAGGTGATGCTAGCGAACTCGGGTGGGAGTTCAACGAGGACCTTGGTCGTTACTATGTTTCGTTTCCTGTTGATCAGTAGTGGAGCCCAGTTGGGACGATCGAGGATCTAGCATTTGGACTTATCTTTTTTTATTTGGGTTTGACCGTAGTCGGTCTCTGTGTGTATTTTGGATGATGTTTGATTTATTTAAGCATTGTGTGAAGTGGCGATTGTAAGCCAACTCTCGTTATCCCTTTCTTGTTCATTACATGGGATTGTGTGAAGATGACCATTCTTGCGACAAAATCACAATGCGGTTATGTCTCTAAGTCGTGCCTTGACACGTGGGAGATGTAGCCGCATCGTGGGCGTTACAACCTGGCATGCCCAAATAGTTAGGATGCTTTGCGCGTGCACAAGGCTGGGGTTGTCGAGGTAGTCGAGACCACCCTCACTAAAGATCTGGGAGCCAGCCTTGAACCAAACGACCTCGCCAAACTTGACGCCGTTGCGGGCGAGCAACTCAGGGAAGACGCATCCAAGTGCCCCAAGCATGGCCCAACGACAGTGGATCATCTCTAGCTCCCGATTCTTGGAGAAGGTCTCGGTGTCAGCCGAAAGTCCGGCAGTGTCCCAACCATAATTGCCAGGGAACTCACCGGTGAGGTAGCTCGAGGGCTCACCAGAGAGTGGGCCGAGGTAGAGCACATGGTCAGCATCGTACCATGGGCTATCAGAGGAAACCTATTTCGCCTTCGCTGCAGTCTTGCGCATGGTGATGCGGGCCTCACCAAAGAGAGCCGACGTCGGTATGTTCTTCACCATCTTGCCGGCAAAGGACGAGGAGGAAAGGGACATGGTGGTCGCCGCCATTGGAGAGCTAAGACTGGAGTCTGCTGTATGGGTTCTCCAAGAGAGGCGTGAGTGTGAATATGACTTGATAGGAGAGGGGGATGTGGCTACTTAAGGCAGCGGAAGGTATCTAAGCTTTACAAGATAAACACGGATAGAGAGAAAAATCTTGAGCTTTGATGCAATTGGTGCTGCAGAGATCTCTTCTTGTCAGAACACTTGAAGCAGCGAGAACCAGGAAATGCTGTTGCTGTGAGCTTGTGGCTAGAAGTGGCCGTGACTAGGATCTCCTTGGAGACAGCTGACTGGATCAAGTGTGAGTGAGATCTGCGCTAGGAAGCATCGCGCAGCGTCACACCGCTAGCTGTTGTCTTCATGTATCCTTTAGCGTTCAGAAAATCAGAATAGGATGTACCATCAGGCTGTGGTAAAAGATCACATTATTGAGCAAAATTCCATACATAAAACTTATATATATCCATTTTTTCTCGGAAAATGTAGGTACACCTTAATTTGCCATCAACTAACCAGTAAATTAATTAATTTAATTAACATCTGCATATTCTGTATGTTTTAGATTAAAGTAAATGACTTACGGATGCGGATCTTTAGAACCTGGATCTGGGCGCACCCACTAAAACATTTTATTTTAACTTCAAAAATAGCAAAAAAAAAAAGAGAGAGAGAAGAGAGTCAAACAAATTCTGTGGCGAACATGGTCGAGAGTTCTACTTATGAAGGAAGTTGGCCAAGAAATGACTACCGTGTTATTCTAGGAAAGAAAAAAAATCGCAATATAAAAAATCTTGAATAGTAACTTTTATATAGATCCAACCTTTTGTTTGCACAAAAGACCATGGGAGTCGCTCCTTCATGAAACTTTACATGCGAGTATAACATTAGATCATGTTCATTACAAAAAGTTTAGAATTGTTTATCTTTTTTGCTATTTTTAAAATATCTTTTCAATAGGGGTGCATCTAGATCCAGGTTTCATTGGGTATCTTCGCTCATTATACTGCTACAGAAATAAACATATTAGGTTTGGTAAATAAAAATACTACTAATTTATCCCTAAATTAAAATATTCGTCCTTCCTTAGTAATCTTGAACAAACAAAAAAATCGAAGTGCCTAACATTACAACATAAATTGGGAACATAAAATGATGGAGACTATTACTTTGACATTAAACCAGTGCTTTTTAAGATGTTAGTTTCCCAAATTTCTGGGATAACATACACATTTATATCTTTGTTGTTATCTGATCCTTGATGACCCCAAATACATTGCATGTGTGTGATCACAAATAATATTATTGTTTCACAACATTGAGTATAAATTCACGGAACCGGATCCTCTAACATCCTCAAGGGATGTCACGTAAGCTACAGTAACCGTGGCATCCCTTCTTCACATCTATATGGTTAAGCCTAAAATGATTATAATTAATTTGCAAATTACAAATCTACTGTATACATTTACAAAGATTACATACAACCAAAATTATGATGCAATAAAATTATTTTTCGATTTATTTTTGTACATGCTACAGTAAATCCGCACAATAATTGCTATAGTAACCCTGCCACTCCTTCTCCGTTTTACACACGCATGTCACTGTAGCTTCGTGGCATCCCTTAAGGATGTTAGAGGATCTGCTTCCCAAATTCACATACTAGTTCAAAACATCAGTGTTGAGTCAATCTCATCTGCGCGCTTATAATTTTCAGTTATGATTATGTATGTTTCATTTTTATATGCTTAGCTCTTGAATTAGAACAGAAATATGGTAAAAAAAAGCTGACCCCCCTCCCCGTGTCAAAAAGGGTCATAATCACTCAAAAAACGGAAAAGCTTTCTATATTTGCGACAATGTTGATTCTCATGTCGCCTTATCCTTTCTACATTTGTGCAAACAATATTTA